GAGCTTTATGATAAGAAATCGCCAACCAAGTGTAAGCAAGGTATTTTCATCACTTGAAATTTCCACCATATGTCCGCCTAATACCAGAATAAAGTAAATTTCTTAACTTAATGGTTATTCAGCTACTCAACCTATCAATTACATTGATTGACATGGTGGATATTTACCTTCCACATTCGGTATAGAAAAAAAATTTAACTTTTCATATGTTTATTTTTAATCATGTAAAGAAAAAGTATAACTATTTCAGTTTGAAACTCACCCTTGAACGTAGAAACACACCAGTTAGTGTCTTTCTTGTTCTTGTTTGATTGTTTATCTTCAAGTATTTTTTCCAAACCCCGCTCGGATAAATTTGCGAAGCAGCTGCTTTCACTGGTAGCACTTTCGCTTTGTTGATCTTTAGACGCTTCTGATGTTTTTTGCAACCATTTCAGACACGTTTTCTACATCTTCAAATTCCCTGAGAGACCCTAAATCAAATATTGGGTTATTATTAGCCCTTATAATAGCTAAATTTAAGTGTAACCCGAAAAAAAAAAAGTTGTGAAAAAATTTTTTCCTCGAAAAAATTTCACCGACAATGACGTTCGCCTCAACAATCTTCTTAGAAACGTCCATATCTTTTTTATTAGATATTAGCCAATCAGAGCGCGCGTTAGAATGTAGCTGGTTATATCTGAAAGTAGATGTATGTTAGGGGGAAGAATCGTACAATGGTTCGCCTAAGTCCTTTGCAACCCCATCATTTGTTTAATTACTCACAGGGACAGGAAGCTCCTCACCTTAACTAGCACGAAATAAATTCAAGTTCAGTGAAGTAGAGACCAAATCTATTAGTTGTGCAATACTTGTAGCTGCAAATCAAACAAAAGCAGCAGCTGTATGTACAAGCAAATCGATCAATGCAACTTTAAATGCATCAATCGTTGTCGAGGGTGAAAAGTGGACAGTGTATGTGATGTCTGACTTTTTAATTTTAGGTAGAGCCATGAATACAATCTATTTTTTAAAGTCCTTCGTCTGACTGACGAGGTGGCGTGACGTGGAATGAGTGATTTCAAGAGGAAATACAAAATCCTTAAAAGATATGAACTCTTTATCAGATGCACCTTGATTGCTTTCGACTAAAAAACGATTCTACCTAAAAAAAGAGCATTTTGCTGCACAGTTCCTCTTCATTTCATTCATTTATTGGTCAGTCATATATATATATATATATATATATATATATATATATATATATATATAGTAAGATGGAGCTACACTACTGGTGGGAACATAGTAACGCGGTAATTACCATATTATTACCAGTAGCTTAGTTCCATCTTTCTGTACATAAACCACACTCAACCTACAATTCCCTTCTTCATATTTTTTTATTTTTTTTTTTACTTCTATTTTTTTTATGGAGGCCAATTAACATTATCAGTGCAGATATAGAGTCGATCCTCGCAGATATGAACACTACTGAACTAGTAGTTCAAATAGGGCCTGAAAAAAAGAAATCAGGCGCGGGTGCAGAGGTATCGCAGAGGTCATGGGTTCAAATCCCGTACGGGTCTGAATTTTTTTCAGGCCTTATTTGAAGTGCTAGTTCAGTAGTGTTCATAGCTGTGAGGATCGATTTTATATTTTTTTATCCAACCGCAGTGCACGTACATAATTTTCATATATTTACAGCCATTATCAACTCAGTTGATTAAACCAAATTAACTTTATAAACAGATTTGTCGGAGCAATTGCCATTTCCAACCTGATGAGAATGGAATGTCCTCTATTTTAAGCCATGAGTTAATTTTTGTTCACGTTTCACAGCGAAATATATATATTTTTTCATTTGGGTAGGTATCAACATTTAGTTTTGATAAAAACGTGACTCTTTTACAGGCTCTGTACTGCATAACTGAGGTTATATTTGGGTCTGACGTACCCTGGAGGCGTAAAATGGGTCTAAGCCATGTGCAGCTCCAACTCTTAGTGGCTTTTTTTAAAATAATAAAAGCACGTCACGTATATTTGTTTAAGGGCACCTGCTTGAGCAGACCTTCGACACCATTAAGCTTACACTTAGAGCCCTTAAACAACGTTTCTAAAAACTTGCAGAGAGCCGACAGCCTTTTAAGTGTTTAATTTTGTATTATTGTGTAACCTAGAAATAGAAAATACGATAAAGGAAAAAAAAGAAGCTAAACTCGTTTAGCAAATGGTGGTTGACAAAGAAACAAAGAAAGAAAAAAAAAGTCCATATTTTCTGTCTGATTAACATAGTTGGAATACATTGTAAACAACCGATCACAGATTGTCAAGCTAGGACTTACAAAATTATAATTTTTCTTCCATTGGCGCATTTGTGCAAATCTCGACGAATTTTTTTTTAAACATTTATTTGGCATGTCTTGAAATTGTTATTCAGATTGTAGCTCTCATCTCTGCTCTCAAATTCATTTGCATTACGCTTGTTTCAGGTTAATTATTAAACAGATTTGGGGTTTTTATGCCTTCGCACATGACGGGATGGAATCATTTAATAATAAGAACAAAATTTATTGAAATCAGTATTTCTGGAAGACTTTCTCGCCATAGAAAGTTTTCAGATTAAAGTTAGCAACGCCACACAACGGGACAAAGAAGCCAGTCCTTGATTACGTAATGAAAACATTAAGTATGACGGCCTCTAGTTTTGATGAGATCCGCGAGGAGCACGAGTCGCTAAAAGGATTTGCAAAATAATGATGATAATAAAAATAATAATAAAAATGATGATGATGCAAATGAGGTTTTTCTTCACAATCATAGAAGCGCATTGTTTAACCCATCATGCACAAATTAACGGAGCACTTAGTTCTTTGCGGGAAGTTGCATAAATAGACTGAGACCTTTTAGCTAAAATAATAGGGTGCTGCCAAATGTTATCTTTTTTTAAGATCATAGTAGAGCTAGCTACTAACTGAGACTGACTTATGGTGCAAAATACTGATCCCTCCTCAACTTCTCCGATTAGACGATATTTTAAGCTGGTTGCATGTTTCTGTATAGTAATGACGCTCAAATTTTTTCGCAGAACAAGCATTTAATCTCTACATTTCCTTCATTCAATTTTAAAAAATCACTGTTCAGCGACATTTTCAAGGAAACATTGACATTACTTTATATTCCAAAGCGTATCTCTCCGGTCAAACCGTTGCGTTAGGTTAAATTCTTCGCCAGGTATTATTTTACCAATTTAGCTTTTGGTGCAAAGAGCCCAAACAGGAAGAGGGAAGTTCATTTCTAATATTAATGATCACCATGGCTTCAAACCAACTTTTCTATTGTAAGTATAGCTACCAGAAGGTACTAAAAGAAAACAGGTTTGGCTCATAACAATTGTGCGCTGAGAAGGTTGGATCTTGTAAGGCAAAAGATGATCATGCTTAATACATACCTAAATAAATTGACTTTTATTTTATATGATTTGATATCCACCCTTAACTCTTGTTTTTCTCTAAGTGTACTTGAAAAAGAGGAAAATTAAGGTTTGTCATGTCAGGCAAACAACTAAAACAAATAAACCAGGTCATCATCCTTGATTTCCCATCCCTCGCGCATCATGAGATTACTTGTCGAACCTCTGCTCGATGACGATCATTTAAAGCGGGTCACTCAAATAAAACAAAGAATAATGTTTCAAGTAAAATCCAATCCATTTTTTTCTCCCGAAATCAATGGTGGTAGTATTTTCAAGTGATATTTTGCATATTGAGTGATATAATATGGCCTAAAACAGCGACTTTTTATCGTTTTTTTTTACTATCCCTATTCTGTGAAACCTGTTTTAAGCGTTCACCCCGCTATTCCCCGTGGGTTCAGGTTCGTCTGTCTAAAACAAAGTCGGTCGTAGGACGACAGGCATTTTTACGGAATTTCAGTGGTTTGAAGATCCTCTCTTTTGCTGAGAATTTATGTTTGTTTAAGCAAAACAGCGTTTTCGAGCTACTCATGAATTCATTGTGACATTGATGAATGCGAGGGCTGATAGAACGACTAAATATCGACGGCTTCAAACATGAATATTAACTCATCTTTTAATTATCAGGTACATATTGACTATGTGAGAAGTCCGGACGGGAAAATATTCTCGGCTCGGTATCACGAACTTCATCAAAAGGTGGTGAAAAAATGATTGTACTGTGAAAAATATTTTCTTCAGTTCTTCGAGTTAGTGAAAGAAACTCGCAATTCGAAATACAAAATCCTTGGCTTATTTTATAATTTCTTGCTTATTTCAAGTCCAAAATAAGAATTTTCGTTTTCGGAAAATCCAACAGAGTCATGCGAACGCGAGGCGGACGGCTTTCTTTCGTGGATCGCTCAAAGCCAACCCGTCTGGCCCTACACACATTATGATTTTCATAGGATTGCATGAGCGGGGCCAAACTTTTCAGATGATGGGACTCTATTATCATGCTTGTGTCATCATAGAAAACGTTAATTATTCATAGCTCAATCACTTTTTCAAGGTATGATGTGAACTCTGAATAAATTTAAAAGAAAAATACGCCGAGTTCATAGATCTACCTTGAAAATTTGGAGGTGCTTTATCTCCGAGAAACGTAAAGGAACTCGTATGTTTACGTGACTGTTTTCACCTTCATATTCACTTATTGTTCTTAAGAATGCATTCACAATGCTTATTGACTAAAACGCATTTCATTTATTATTGTTATGAAGGAATTGAAGTAAATCTTATTGTAAATTGTGAGAAAAAATTTTCTGCGCCTTATCCGATGTTTGACACCGAGTTGTAGCCCCCAAAGTGCATTTTTTATTTGGCAAAGCGGAAGATGTCGAGATCGAAACCGTGTTCATTCGCAGACAAGGAAACGAGTGCGTGTCATTGGCAGAAATTTAGAACTTTATTGCGTCAGGACTGACAGCTGTTAAACTTGTTAGCATCCCATTTTCAATACAAGCTGGTCGATTTCCACTACTTAATCCATAACGCGATGCAGGTGGTCGACTCAAAGTTTGTGGCACACTGAAAGCATCAATATTAAGGTCCGTAGTCTTGAGGAAGCATGGAATTTTCTGCGTTTTTTATATTCGTAGTCTGCACTACATCGATGACGTACCTGACGTTTGGCAAAGGTGAGCTGCAAATGCGAATCATTTTCTATCCTATACTTGTATTACAGTCCTACAATTTTATTCCTTAAGGCTGTTATTATCTTAGTATTCCACTGATGTAAATTAAGACAGGTCATGCTCAGAGCTGATAAACTTACACGTACGTGAGAACTTAGCGAGAGACGTAAGAGCTACGACTAAACTAGAAACTTGAACTCAACGAAAATAATTAGCAAAGGAAGGAAATACTTGTAAACTCGTTTTTCCAGACGTAAGCTGGTATTTAACAAAGGAAATTCTCAAAAGCATATATTTACAAAATGAATTAACAACTTTTATGGCGAAGTATTGCCTCACTCGAAAAGTTTACGTTCCTAACACTCAACTCATGATTACATGACAGGAAGACGCTGCTATCAAAAATTTTTTTGTGTGTTTTGGCGGACGGAAATTCAATAATTTGCATCTTAAGGAGAGAAATGTAGCCGCTCTTAGTCAGCATAGAGATGTTATTTTAAAGAAAAACAATGCCGTCATATGGAATACATTGCATTTTCCGTGTTAAACATTTGTACGCAAAAATAAGATAATCACAAGTTTTGAAGTAAGCTATTTTCTAAGATAGAGGGAAAACCCCTTAAGGAAAAGTTTCGAGGTAGAGGCTTTTAAAATTACCAAGAAACAAATAACTTGAGTAAGAAGATCCATATCAAAACAAGTTGAGCAGATGTTTTATGCAAATTTCAAATTTTATTCTCTTTCCAACTTTATCTGAAACGTTACCTTCGACTGCAATTCACTAAATTTATCGTCTTAAATTGCATGTTTTCCTTTCTTCCCTTCTTAAACCTCTGATGCTCCGATCAATATTTTTCAACAGCAGAAAAACGATGTAAGCGGATTTTAAATTGACTTGTCAGTCGTGATAGAGGAATAAACGAAAAGAGAAATGTAAGGAAAGGAATTGACTGAAATTAAGAAGTATTATATAGCGCAAAAGTTGGCAATTCTTTAAAACCTACGGCAATTTTCTGAAACGTTTGCTCGAGAAGGGCACGCATATCAAACCGAATATTAATCTGTTAAGCGATACCAGACAACACTGGTTGCTTTTGATGGAAATTAGAATGAATTTCCTCTTTTGACACCATAACTGAATAATAATAATAATAATAATAATAATAATACTAATAATAATGACAAAAAAGTCACAGGGGACCTCTAGAATCATGTATTCTTCCAATAAACACTCGACAATAGTCAAGCACCACTTATTTTTCGAGAAGGAGAACTCGGTAACACGCAAATTCACATAATGATGGAATTGTTCCACAGAAAACGGCTCAGCAAATTACAAATGTTTAAAATGCATTTAACCTGTCGTCGTTTTACTCATAAGAATTTTTGTTCAATTATGCTGTAGATGTATTTGCCGCCGTTGTTTGCTTAGATCCCGAGATTCTTGCTGAGAAATCCGTTCTCAGAGCTCTACTCTCGGGCAATGGAAATTTATCCCAAATATCTTCCTTAATTTTGTCTATTTTAGAGAGAGAGCGAGCGATGCTGTTTCCAGATTATTACTTCTTCGCTAAAAGACGTTTGGAAAACTATACTATCGAAACAAGAAAAGTAAAGAACTTAGATGTCTGTGAGCTAATGTGCTACCTGAACGACAACTGTGTCAGTCTTAACTTCAAAAAAGATCCAGAGAATACGGACCCGGTTCACCTCTGTGAACTAAATAACGCCACGCATCTGAAATATGACATTGACTTGATAACTGATGCCAAGTTTTATTATCGTGCCTCGATGGTGAGTTACAAATCGATTTTTCGAAATTGCTGCCTTTGAACAATGTATCAACAATAATTAATGTTTATGCAAATGTTCGTATATTCGATCATTCGGTATTTAGTTTCTTCTTTCATTAAATCTCTCCATCTTTCTCTCGTTATTTTATTTTACTTTGTTTCTCCTTCAGAACGCTTGTGATAAGAATTCCAAGTGCCAAAATAACGCAACTTGCCAGTCTGGATTTACACGCAAGGGATATCGATGCTTGTGTTCTCATGGATTCGAGGGAGAATATTGTGAAAAGGGTATGAGTATAAGTCAACACTTGAAATGAACGTATATGAGATTTTTTCTGATTTTCAATGCTGTTAAGACAACTGTTCTTTAGTGGGTAAAAGTGGTGTTAATTTTTTTTTTGTAATTATATGTTGTGATGAATTTTTCCATTTTTCCTTCTTTTTTTGAGCGTGTGTGTTGTTTTCTTCGATCGCTCGTTTGTATATTCTTGGTTTTTTTTTTCATCTCTCTTTCGCTATATTTCTTATGTTCAATCTTCGCTTTGGGGAGCGATGACGTATCCCCTCTAAACCAGTCCGAAGTCGACGTTCAAAATTCGCAGGTGACACCGTACTCAGTGTCGTAGAATTTTGCAATGTTGCCCGCTCAGAAGACTTTTGGTGGTAAACAATAATCGTCTGACAACCCATTTTGCATCCACTACCCTATCTTGCACAGTGATTTAGTATGTATTTTCAGACTTTGACGAGTTAGAAAATGGATTCCTCTGATCTATAACAAAATGCAATTATTTCAACTAAAGGTGACAGTCTTGCTTAATAATTAGGGCCTGTAACTATTTTCATGATACAGCTATTTAAATCGCTGAATGGCCCATTTTTAGTTACTGCACGTTGTCGTTGATGTACATTTTTTTTAGGAAACATTCTGTTAATTTCAGTCATACTAAATATTGTTGTTAAAAGATTACTGCAAGATTATTGTAACATATCGTTTCTTTTATCTTGTAGCGATTGTGAAGTCATTGCAGCTTGATTTTGACGTAGTTTGCACATTATCTTTCAGACATTGACGAATGCAGTGACGCTCGTCCTGTTGAAGTGAAGAAATGTCATCCTAATGCCTCTTGCATTAATACTCAGGGCTCGTACAACTGCACCTGTAATCCTAAAAACATTGGGGATGGTTTTCACTGTGAAGGTACGTTTATTTTTTTGCCATGCCTTTTATCTTTTTAGAGTTGGGATTGGATAGACTTTTTATTCATTCCAGCCATGTTTTTAAATTTGTTATTAGTATGTAAATTACGTTAGCTGTATCCTTAATACGCGACTTTGCCAACACTGCGTGCATATGAATGCTGCGAAGAGTTACAGTTGTATGTATGTAGACTTTATCCCTTTCCGTGATGAGCCCATAATGGACGGAGGAGTTCATTGATCTGTGTGTGGCGTGGGAATATGAAAATGGCCATAGACATCCCGAAAGGAACACAATTTAAAGGAAAATATTTTATTTCCAATTCGTGGCTAGCCGAACCTGTTTGGTAAGTCCGTGCAGAACTCCGCAAAAATTGTCTCAATGTTTCCTTGCACCTTCCACTCCATTCCAATCAAAGTGGTTTGGTTTGGAGCTCAGATGAAATCAAATATGCCGAATAATACTTAATTCGGCAAGTAGTGGGGATTTTCAAAGACTTAAAGGCGACAGAATTAACTTTGGGATAACGAACAACTGAATGCAATTTTCAAAAGCGATAATGACTATGGCTAGAAAATAGAACTTTCCGAATTCAAGTAATGACTTGCGATATTTGGGTTATTATTTGGACCAGCACTTATTATTTAAGTGTTGATATGTGCTTAAGGTATTGTTCAGTTGAAGATTTTCTTTTGCAATTATTCAACTTTCACAATTTTTAACGTAACGCTACGCTCAGCGTTCTGACCAGTAAAAGCAAAGTGCCTTGAAATATCCTTCGATACGCTGTCAATTAAGAAGGGAGTCTAATAAAGATCCTGATTTTCTCAAAAGAAAAACTTTTCCCCACAAATAATTTATTATATGGCTTCTAAATTGAAGAAACAAAAAAATTGTTCAAGCTGAAGTCGTCAATTTCCATCCGGCGATGCGCGCATTTACCTATGCACTCATCCAATCAAACCCATGGCAAAACTACACAATCAGTGAAATATGCCAGTGTATCACATATACCGTCAAGTGTACTTTGATTTTCCGTAAAAATGATCTCATTTACAGCCTTGGAAAAAGAACATTGATAAGAGAATATTTGTCGAACTTTCAAGACAATTGGAATACACGGCTAAGAATATTTCTCATTCAGTCTTCGCTTTCGCTTTTAACATCAAATACTCGCCCTCTTAGAGACTTATGGATGAACTTCACAAGCCTTTTGAACATGTAATACTACATGTAATCAGAAATACTGCTGCCAACAAGAACCGCTCGACTGTTTACATCTGATGTTACTCATTGGAAACTGATTTTTAACTTGCTTGTGTAATAGCGAGGAAATTTATTGATGAGAACTACTAAACTAGCTGTGATAAAATTTGATATTTCGGTAATTGATGTGACTTCATGGAATGCGATAATCTATTAGTTTTTTTCGCGGGATTCTACCAAAGATGCATGACAGATCTGGCGATGGCGTTATGTACTCAGCGATTTAAGCTTTGTATTTGTCACGGTAAACTTTAGTTGTTTTTTTTCTTGTGACCGCCAAGGTTACCAGCTGGTAAGTCAAAAACAACGTAATGAAAATTTGTCAAAAATTTTATTGGAGTTTTTTCATGTCACCGACAGCTTTTCAATGCGAGTTTTAATGGTTTCTTATATTAGATGTGAGATTGAGTGTATTCTTGTTTGTTTACCTCGTCCACAATCTCAAAAGTAACTGTACATTCGCTGTTCTTCACAGCAATTAGATACTTGTCATTGAATTTACTCCTCAGACTCTTAATCGGCCTTCATCATTTTCATGCGCTCGAATTTTCGAAAAAGGAAAAAGAGCAGCCGCTGTACATTTATGGAATTTATGCTCTTCCTAATTTGTATAAACTGTTATTGGCCCGTGGACATTACCGTTGTATAATGCCTTGCTCTGATCTTACTCATAGCCAATCAGAGCGTGCGCTATATCGGCAACAAACTAAAGCCATATAGTAAATAGTCATTATCATTCTCGTGAAATGCAAGGTCTACAGCTGATTGGTAAATTGCTGAAATTATACGAATATTGAAAAACATATTTAATACCATTACTGGTAATGACTATAATTGTTTTTAAAATAATCATTTTTCTTCGTAGCCGATCCTTGCCATCATTACTCAAACCTGAATGAAGCCAGTCGAAAATGTTTACCTTTGGTTCTTCAACATTTTTCAAAATCTATATTTGACTTTTTTAGCCGACCCATGTTATTATCATCAAAGCCTGAGTGATGCCAGTAGAAAGAGAAGTTACGTAACACCCTGGAGCCAAGAGGTGTGTGACGACCAACTCCGTGAGGGATGGTATCGTTTTGTGGGGGCTGCTGGAACAAAAATGCCGACAACGCGTGTGTTAGCATTCAGATGTGGCACAGTCCGGTCAGGTTGGTTGGAGGGTGCTCATCCCACAGTGGAAGATGGTGAAGTTCAAAGGAAGGTCTGCTTTAGTGATCGCTCTACTGGTTGCGAAGACTCTAAAAATATTTTTGTAAAAAAATGTGGATCCTATTTCATCTACAAACTTTACCCACCTGCTTGTTTCGCACGCTACTGCGGAACAGACTGAACGTGAAGCAAAAAGTTCAACAAATAAGAGGTTCATAAATTGATCCTCAGGTACACGTACTTCAGGGATTTTGCGAAGTCCTCTTTTTATGATGATCATTAATTTCTTCTATAGATTTTATACGCTGATGATGTCCTGTTAACTTGCAATCAAATAAGCTTTGATTTTCACATTTTACAAAGCATCTCTTTTGTAAAAATAATCACAAATAATCGATTGCTGCTAAAAGAACTAATAACAAAAAAATATTAAAATGATAAAAAAGAAAATTCTTAGATATTGAAACCCTAGACCAGCAGGAACATCAATCAGCATGATAACTTGCAAATATGACAAAACTCTCTTCTCAAAACTCTAAAAGCTGCAATATATAGCACGGTGTGATAATTTTCGCTTCAGTTTATTTTAAAAATTAGATGCCGCTTTGTTAGTGCTAATGATGTGTTCAGTCTGATAGTTGCTTTGAACACAAATAAACACGATTATGTTAAGACTGGTTTGGGTAAATACTATCTAGTGTGAGGCAGTAAGGCATGACATTAAAGTTTAACTGTTTTTATTGCAGTTTCGTACTAAAATGAAAAAAATTCTAAGATGAAAAGTTTTGAATGAAATATATTGCTCTTGTTCCAATCCTATAAAACCATAGATCGTGACGTGGATAAGAAATTCCAAATTCCAGTGTTAAGTATTTTGGGTTTAGGTTAGGGTAAGAGTTAAGGGATAGGAATGAAGTTACACACAATTCCCTCATCAATTATTTATCTTCCGTGCCCGAGAAAAAATTTAAATGCATAACAAATGCGATAAGCACTTGCTATTTCTTGATAAACCTAAATATAAATTGACGTAAATCATAGATGTTCTACTCAGAATAAACTGAGATAGGTTTTAATTAATGATTTTGCAGGTTAGCTTTTTAAACTGTGTAAATAGAGGAGAATAGTGAAATCAATCATTATATTTTTAGAGAAATTGTACAACTCTTAATAAATACATTTATCTTACCTTGAGCATTTTCAACTGAGTGCCGCAAAGTGAAAATTAGATTATATGCAACGTATGTGATTTAGTAAAGATCTGATAGCGGAAAAAAAATGATCAAATTTCCAGCATATGTATGAACCAAACCAGTTCGCTGTGAATACTTTTCTTACTAGTTCACTACTGATATGTAAGGTCGATATTCTTCACTATTGACATACATGAGTAACATTGGCTATCATGATCGTAAACTAGAGATAATAGAGGAATAGGAATAAGTCATGACTTTTGACACTCAACTGAAAACTGTTCACCAGCTTGAATTACATGTAGTGCGCATGCGTACATATAGAAGCTTTCGCAGTAAGGATTGTTTAATATAAAATATATTGAAGTTCACATGGCAACCAGGTGGACAATCAGGCATAGTTTGATGCTACTCTGGTTTAAAGATCTAATGAATTTGAACGAGAAGTTACAATTCGCCGACCCAACGTTTCAATACCCTTGTCTAGTGCGTTCATCAGGAGTGACCTAAACACCGCAACAAGAGGTCCTTTTATACGCTCACTAACTAGCTGTCTTTTTTATGACGAGGTGTAAATGGGCGTCAGGAAGTAAGCCGCCATCATCAAGATTTTAAGAAGCGTGGGCGGAGTTGATATGCCAGGCTAAACAAAGGCGATGGTGGTAACGCCGATTAGGGGTGATAATTTTAGACTTATCCCATCCAATTGTATGGTTGGTTAGGCATGTGAGCTCCGATAAAGCAGAGGAGGAGGGAATTCGCAATGAAAGAAAAAGAAATTTGGATCAAAATAAGAGAGTTGTACGCGGCTCCAGATGTTGATTAGGTACATTTGATTAGTGGATTTGGAAAATTTGTGACTCAAAAGATTTAGTGTTAAAGGCGTGATCACGAGAATAACATTTCACGCCATGACTATACCTGTGATGATAACGTGATCATAAAGGAATAACATATGTGGCTTCGCCTCTATAGGAGACAGAAGCCACACAAATTACGATAAGAAATCACGAGTGGAGAGCGTGATCACAGACTGATAATTAGATGTGATCACTGCCTGGGAAACCGCAAGACACCAAGATGCTTATGTGTGATGAGCACGCCCCTTGTGTGCTAGAGAATGCCTTTACAACAAATAAAAAAATGTAAAAAAAAAAAAAAACAAACAAACAAACAAAAAAAAGCGTTAATTGTTTGATACCTGCTAAATTTCAATTGGTGAAATTTAACATAATGCTGTTAAATAGGATTCACTGCTTTTAAGCATTTAATAATTCGCCAGAACAAACTGTGACATAAGAACCCAACATGGCTAGCTCACACCAATAAAATTAAGGTTTATTACAGTGACCCAGAACGTATTAGAAGTACCCCCTATACACCATTTTATCATTACCGTTGATTTCTTCAATCCTTGGCTATCCTTTTATTTTATTTTTCTCAAAAATATACATCTACCGTTGAGCACTAGTCAGTATCCTTCACTATCAGAATGGCGTGAGCGATGCTATTAACGAACTTATAATTTCGTTTTGTACCACTACAGACAAAATGAATTTGAAAGCTCTCTTGATGATGTATTAGATAACTTAATTTTCAAATAAACAGTGGGCTAGGAAAAGTCCATTTACCGAATCGTTCGTAAATTTCCTGTTTCCAGAACGGAGAGACGTATTACTTATTGTTAACTGAACTGTCAACTCATTATTACAGCACTCTACATTTCCATCCATCTTTTCAGAACGGCGAGAAATTGAACAGCTTTATACTCTAAAAACAATTGGTCTCAAAACTAACCGAAGTAGACACGTACAGTAAACATGTCAATTATGCTTTGTTGAATTTCCGTAGTATTTAACTCACTAGGAGATGTTTACTATGTGACAGTTTTTTTTGCTCCATTGAAACATAAATATTTGGGGTCTACCGTGAAAAATCTTTAAAACACTAGAACCATTCCTTCGATATATAATCTCTTTGGAGAACGATATATCGAAATATACCCAGCCAGTGGATTTTTTTAAACGACTGCGTTTTACAACTGTCATAAGACCACGTGACTTGCATGTTGCCAACGATGATCTGCAAATCTCATCTTAGCGTGTTGTCACAGCACAGCATAGATTTCGTGTTTCCATTTTCATCATCATCATCATGCTCTTTACGTCTAACAGGCATGTAGGGCAGCAACGTGTTCCCTCCACATCTGGCGATCCCTTGCCATGAACTTGATGCCCTCCCAGGTCTTCCCCATCTCCTTTATTTCCTTCTCAACTGTCCGTCGCCATGTGATCTTGGGGCGACCCCGCTTGCGTTTCCCTTCTGGCGTCCAATGCATAGCAGTTTTTGCAATGGAAGCTTCTTGGCGGGTGACATGGCCAATCCACCTCCAGCGTCTCCTCATCAGGATGGTAGCCATTGATTCGGTTCCACACCGTTCAAAAAGATCTTTGTTGGAAATGACATTAGGCCAAAAGATGCGTAAAATACGCCGAAGGCTTTTGGTGTGAAAAGTGGAGAGTTTTGATAGATCCTTCTCCGTTAAGCGCCAACATTCTGAGCCATACAGGAGGGTTGTAAGGACGCAGCTATGATAGAGCTTCAGCTTGGTACGAGTACTATAGGTGGAAGAACGCCATACCTTATTAATCATATTGAGCGAATTTCTGGCCTTGTTGAGACGGCTGTGGATGTCCAGGTCAGTTCCTCCATCTCTACTGATGATACTGCCGAGGTAGGTAAATCTGTCTGTGTAAGGAAGCTCTTCGTTATCAATCTGGACTGGTCCTGTGTTGGTAGCGTTCAGTGCCATAATTTCAGTCTTCTTGCTGCTGATGTTCAGGCCAACTTGCTTTGCAAAGGTGTTGAGGCGATGCGTCTTCTCTTGTATGTGGGTGTGGGTGTGTGATAGTAAGGCTAGATCGTCTGCGTAGTCCAGGTCTTCCAGGTAGGAGAAAGGTGTCCATCTGATTCCCCTGACCTGATCCTCAGTGGTGCGATGCATGATCCAGTCCACAACAAGGTTGAAAAGAAATGTAGACATTACATACCCCTGCCTGACACCAGTGTGAACTTCAAATAAGATGTCACCATCACCAACACAGCAGGTAAAGTTGTCATAGAAGCTTTTGATGATCTCAGCAAGGTGCAAGGGGATTCCATATGCTCGTAATAACTTCCAGAGGCTGTGCCGGTGCACACTGTCAAAGGCCTTGGCGAAATCTACAAAGTTGATATAGAGAGTTCGCTGCCATTCGGTACTCTGTTCAATAATATTTCTCAGTGTGAAAATATGATCAATACAGCCCCTTCCTCTCCTGAAACCTGCCTGTTCTTCACGAAGTCTATGGTCCACAGCCAGTGATAAGCGCTTCATGATGACCTTCGCTAAGATCTTGCTAGGGGGGGATAATAGTGTAATGCCGCGCCAGTTGTTACAGTCAGACAGAGCTCCTTTCTTTGGTATCTTGATGATGACACCCTTATTCCAATCGTCAGGAATTTTCCTTCTGTCCCATATGGTGTTGAAAAGTGGCTGCAATATGCTTGCCGTAGTCACAGCGTCTGCCTTGAACAGTTCAGCATTGAGGCGGTCTTTGCCAGGTGCCTTGTGGTTTTTTAGAGAATTAATGGCTGCAATGATCTCTTCTTTCTTTGGTGGTCCGGTGTCAACACTTAAGTCCTCCTCAGCTTCTGGTATATCAACCTCCTCTTCTGGTGGTGGTCTGTTGAGGACTTCATTGAAATGCTCTACCCAACGTGCTTCTTGGTCTTTTTCAGAGGTGAGGAGCTGTCCTTGTTTATCTCGTATGGGGACATTTCTATTGCCATTATATTTTCCACAGATCAGTTTAGTGACTTTATAGACATTTCTCTGCTCTCCCTTTTGTGCCGCTTCCTCTGCTTCTTTTGCTAGATCTTCCATATACGCTCTCTTATCTGTTCTGATCTTTCTTTTGACACGCCTGTTGGTTTCTGTGTAAGCCGC